AAAAATCATAGATTTTGCCGACGTCTTCCGACTTTTTCAAGGCAAAAATGAAATCGAAATGTTTTTGTTGTTATAGTTACATTAAAAAAATCCAGATTTAAAAAGATAGACGCTTCTGTCTAAGCCTTTTTTTCTGGTTAATGTAAATTACCTTTATAGTAAGGGATTTTTTTTCTCCATGTCGACAATATAGTTAAATTCCCAGATGAATTCCGTGGACAAGACACAAACACACACACACACACACACACACACACACATATATATATATATATATATATATATATATATATAGGGTGACCCAAGAAACGGGACTTTTTAACAATCCATTAAAGCCAAGAGTGATGGAAGAAAAATATTTTATTCATAGTAATTGAAACCTTAAAACATGCCATTTAAGAAACAATGATGGAATTTTCATTTTTTAAAAATTACGTCCTGTAGATGGCGTCCTCCTGTACGAATGCATTCTTGGAATCTGCTGTTGAGATTCCTCATGGACTCCTGCAACATCTCAGCTGGGATACTGTGAATTTCTTCTTGAATTCTAAATGGCGAAATGTGTACTTGCTCAAGGTCACAGTCTCGCAGTGTTGCCACTTGCTCATGTCTGGCAATACGCACTTCAAAAATTCCCATTTTTTGGGGGTCACCCTGTGTATGATAGGATAAAGAACAAATAGGACGCGTTTATCAAGGTGGTTATAGTGTCTTTTTTATGTCGTTTCCATGTTCGGACAAAATGAATTCAAATCAAATATGAATTATTCTATCTTTCTGTCGGATTCTAATTCATGAATTTTAACTTTAAGATTATCCACAAGAGTGATGGAACGTGAATCTCTTAGCCATTCGGCAAATTCATCTTCGCAAAAGTAATAAATGAATATATCTTTCAAATTGTTTGCCTGCTTCCGGACGTGGCACGCGCAAAGGTTTATTCACCTGAGTGTCAGCTATTGAACTGTGTAAGAAGCGGGAAATATTTATATTTGGGGAAAGAGTGCAAGTAGCAAATCTAACTCGAAGAGAAAATAATGACATTATCAAGATACTGACGTTTCACACAACGCCAAACAAAAGGTTAGGAAGGAAACCTCCATCAATACTGAAAAGAGCAATAACAGTTAGTGGACTTGAGAAATTTATTTTTCTGAAAAATTGTTCCCAGAGGAAATATTTGATAAATTTCAATCGACAGCTGCACTGACTTCTCGGTCAATGACTACCGAATGTTTCCTTATAAGGAAACGGCTAATATTACCATTATATCAGAAAAATCCGATGCACTTCACTTTCATAGAACAACAAATAATTTTAACTAACCAACTCTCTTTTTGTGATATGACATATGACGATCACTTTTAAAATGTTTTAACTCGTTTTGTATTGGTAATTTTGTTTTATTGGCCGCTACATCCATATCGTTGAATCACACTCATTTCCCCCATATTCATGATGTAAAACATTCCACTTCAATAGCTTTTTTTACCAAGACCTACCACGTTGTAGAATAGACTCTTACGTGTATATTTCTCTGGATATTACACTCTTAACTTCTTCATGTCAAGGGTCAATCTTTATCTCTTCAATCATAATCATCTCCTCCTACAAACCCCTCTTTCATTCATATCATACACTTCATTAACCTTAACAATCCTAACAGTAAACCTCTACAATACACTCTTACTTTTTAAAGTCAAGGGTCAATCATTATCTATCCTCCTTATCCTCATAATCTTTAAACTCCTACACCCTCCTCTTTCATTCAGATCACAATTCATTCATCATAACCATTTAATAGTAACTATCTACACTACAATCTTAACCTCTTCAATTCATGGGTCAGTCTTTATCTATCCTCCTTATTCTCATAATTGTCACTTCCTGTCACCTCCTCGTTCATCCATATCTCACACCTAATTCATCATAACCATTTTGAAAATTAACCCTCTACACTACAATATTAACCTCTTTAAAACAAGGGTCAATTATTATCTATCCTCCTTATTCTCTTAATCTTCATTTTCTACTACCTCCCCTTTCACACATATCAACCACCTCATTCCTCATTACCATTTTAACAGTAACCCTCTACTTTGAGTTGATCTCGAGCCTTCTGTGGAACGAACTTTTGGATAAAATCGATAACTGCTGAAAAAAAAATGTATCTCGTCACGAGCACATGGTCCAGTGGATAAAGACGTTGGTTAGATCCAGTGGCTAGACCCAAAGAGATGTGATTTCAATACCAGGCCACAAAAAATGGTGACCCCCCCCCCAAAAAAAAATCTTGGAGTGTTGAGTTAAAGGGAAATAACTGAGACACCCAGAAGAAGCACGACACGTGGAACTAGAACAAATTATCCCGGCGGACGAAATAAAGGGTTCGATCCGAAATTCCAATCACCTGACGAAAGCAGGAACGTACAACGGCCGAAACGTTGTGAATATGTCAATGAAGATGAGGATAACAGTCCGAATAATGTAAATAATGTAAGTAATCATAATACCTCACTTCAGAGATATAAACAGATCATGTATCTCGTGTTGTACAATAAAATAATTATTTTTCTTAGCCCAATCTGATACATGGTCATCGACAATAGAGGGCTATCCATTAAAGATGACACTTATATATAATGGCTTGTGAGACCAGATAGTTAGTTATTATTATACAGGTGCTCAAATCAGACACAAGTTTATATAGGTTTACAATACTATGGTTTGCAATGAAGATCGAACTCATGAGTAGTGCTTTGGTAGAAGAGATTGCTAACCACTGCAAGTCTTTCTAACTGTTCTGTAGCAAATTTATTAAAAGAAAAGAAAAGATTTTCATCATAATGACGATAAAACACAAATTAAGATTATCTTTGTTTTATTGATCTCGACTAAGAGGCGAAAATCAGTCTAAAAATGTCCTGAAATCCAAACTCTCAGTATTTCGTACTTATCTTGAGGTCTCCTCGAATTTGATATCTATCGCGTACATTTCCAAAGAGTCGACAGAATTTTACTCTTACTAGACTAAGGTCTTTAAACAAAGAGAGACACTTCTTATTTTGCCACAAAGCGTGTGGCAGAAAATAGAATATTTTTCTTGGGAGACGCGTTTAATGAAGTCTTAATCCGTGGATAGGGGTTGATTTAATAACTGGTCATTTAAAAAACTGAAACCTCCCTCTTCTCCCTAGGGTTTTGTCAATTAATCTAGTGTCCGACCTGTGCCTGGTGGCAAATGGACGTCGTACTTTCTCTTACACTTTTCCCCCTTTTGTATCATTTTCAAGTTGTTCACTTATTCGAACCGTTTTATTTTGTGGTTTTTCTATTTCCATTTTTTTGTTTTTACGTTTCCATTATCGAATTGTGTAGATGCATGTAACATTTTACCTACCAACTTATCTATCTTTACATTTTCTCACTTTATTTGTTTGTTCACGTCTATCTTAGTCTATTCATTCTCTCTCTCTCTCTATTTATCTCAATGCTTTCATCTCTCTCTCTCTCTCGATTATCTCAGTCTGTCCATCTCTCTCTCCCTATCTCTATTTATCCGTTTCAACACTCTATATCAATTTTTTTCGTCTCCTTCTCTTCTCTATCTTAGTCTGTTCATCTCTCTCTCTCATATATATATATATATATATATATATATATATATATATATATATATATACTGTTGTTGTGCTATATTTATGGGATAAAATTGTTTCAATATCAGAGATAGAGCGTGTAAATATAAAAGTGAACATTGAAGTCAACACTTAGAGGCGACAGGCTGTTTCATGCTAGACGCGTCTGCATGAAACAACCTGTCGCCATTAAGTGTTGACTTCAATATTCACTTATATATATATATCAGACTGTTCATCTATTTATCTCTCTCTCTCTCTTTATATAATGTGTGTGTATTGATATAATAGGAAAGAAAAGTTAGATTAATGATCCAAAGTTCTTTAGTATTTGTTTTTATTTTCAAAAAAACAGTGCTCGATACAGAAGTAGAGCTTAAAATTATAATTATTTTTTAAAATATGATTCCATCGCGACACAGAAATTGCTATGCTTCGAAACTGAAAATCAAGTCCTAAAGTTTAATTTCAAAATTAAACTTGAAATTTAGAGCAACGCTTCATTCTCAAGCGATGTTTAGAAAAAAAAATCGTTAGTTATTTTTTAAACATCGCTTGAGAATGAAACGTTGCTCTAAATTTCAATTTTGATTTAAACTTTAGGACTTGATTTTCAGTTTCGAAACATAGCAATTTCTGTGTGGAAATATTTTAAAATATATATATATATATATATATATATATATATATATATATATAATATAATTAGGCATCTGACAACATTCATATTTCCCCCTTCCACTCACCTCTATAAAACTCCTCTCTGTAAAGTTTTAATCTCCCACCTTCTCTCGTCTGTTACCCCTCTCTTTAGCTCTAACATTCGTCCCACACTCTCATACTTACACTCTCTCTAAATTCTATTTTTATTTCCGGAGTTGTTTTTTTTTCTGTTTTCTTTTTGAATTTGTAGGTCTGATGAATTGGATCGTATTTACGACCATGGAATATTAGTCTTTAAGCCTTTTTATTAAATATATATATCTTTTTTTAATCATTTCACGCCAGGTAAGGCAGTGAAGCCAATAAGATACAAGGGGTTACTTAGTGTGAAAGAATATAAAAAAGAAAAATATTAAGGAGAGGGCCATTGCATTTAGTATCTGTGTTTACATTTCTCCATTTATCTGTTTATCTCTTTATTTTTTTAATCACTTCATCCCAAACAAGGCAATAAAGCAACTAAAATGCAAAGAGTTACTGAGTGTGAAAAATATAAGAAAAGGAAAAACATCATTACGGAGACATAAAAATAACCAGAATAAAGAAAAGAGAAGATAACGAATGGCATTGCATTTAGATTTTTGAAGATATATCTATCTTTCTATCTATCTCAATCTCTTCATTAACTACCTATTCCAGTGTATTTATTGTCTATCTATCTACCCCAATCTGTTCACTATTGATCTCAATTTATTTATCCAAATCTATCTATCTATCTATCTATCTATCTATCTATCTATCTATCTATCTATCTATCTATCAAAAAATAAGGCTATAAAGCCACTTAAAAACAAAGAGTTTCTTCTGTATGTGAAAGAATATGAGATAAAGAAAATCGTTCTTAAGGAGAGAGAAATATAAAACAACAGGAATTTATATATATATATATATATAATGTGTGTGTGTTCGACTAACGAACATATATATTAATCTTTTCGTCTCTCCCTCTACATTCTTCAGTCTGTTCATCTCTCTTACCCTATCTATCTATTTAACCAATCCATATATCTATCTTAATTTGTACTTCTATCTATCTATCTATCTATCTATCTATCTATCTATCTATCTCAGTCTGTTCATTATCTGTCTATCTATCTATCTATCGCCCCCCACCCGCCCGCTCAAATCGTTTCCAAACTTGTTATATGTTATTTCGTACGCGAATAAAATGGTTTACATTGGGTTAAACGAAAGCAAGCTTCGAGACTCGCCTGTTTCAGCATAAATGAAGGGCGTATAAATCTCGCTGTATTAAAGAAAAGGAAGAAAAAATGAAGCAGGAAAAGAAAACGTGACCCTCCAAAAAGCAGAGTAAACATACTTGAACAACAAGTCAATAAGCGTCGTAAAGATTGAGGCGGGTGCGAACAATTGCCGTCGCCATCTTGTTTACCCACTCTATAGCTTTTCCCCGTTCTTTGTTTTGCCTCAATCTCTTTCCAGCGACGTCATGTTTTCGTTTGGCTCCCTCTCTACCTTTGCTCTCCTTTTTATTAGCGCAACAGTGAGGCTCGTTAGTCTATTGTGCGACATGGACCTTTCTCTCTTACGCAAAACAACCCCTGCGTTAATCAGAGCCTAAAAAGTGGCTGGCACTCACTCAAATCACCCGAATCAGCCAGCAACCTAGGTTACAGTCTGGCACGGCGGAATGTTTTCCTTCCAGACCCAGTGCCTTTTCAATCCGATCTATTTCTAATTATATGAAATTTGTAAGAAAGGATTGAATTAATGGCAGCCGAGGAAAGGGAGACTCGACCCTAACCGAAGACACTCATTTGGATCTTAAATTAATACGAGAGAAGTGAAACAAGGAAGAAAATGAAATAGAAAAAGAAATTTAGAAAAAAAAGAAGAAAAAGGCCGACGAGAACAACAAAGATGGAAGGATTTGTATTTAAAAAAAATCACGAAAAAATCACTCCCTGGAAATAAAATAAGCTTACTGCTGCTGGGTGCATCCTTGAGTGGTTTGGGTGATGCGGGTACATTGCACAGGTGAGGCTATTGAGCATATATGATGAGCAAGAACCCTAAGTGAAAAGCCCCCATGATCAATCGGCACTTAGTGTAAAATAAAAGATTTTTCAAGGACTAGACCCGATAAACCGTAATGGCGTTAATATTGTGTAAATTGTCGTCTGCTTCCTTAGATCTCTTCTTTGTTCGTCTGACGCGTTGTTAAGTTGAGTTTCGTTATTTCTTACACAAGTTTCTTTTTAGCGTAAAACGTATTCGATTTGAGATATGTATTAACTTTACTGGTACTAGATTACTGTTATTACTATACAAGCGCAGATCAATAAGTCTGAAACTTGATATGGAGTTACCTGTATTTTGATCTGCGTAATGTTTAATATCTATGATTACACCAAATTTTTTTAATTAAGCAACTTATGATTTTGACCGGGCTGCTTAATATTTACACATGTTACTGGTGTTTTTATTGTTGGTAAAGAAGCTTTTGTTAATGAAAATAATGTTATAATCAGAAATAAAAATCCCAATCGTAGTTAAAATCATTGCGTGTTTTCTTAACGGTACTACTCATTTAGCGATAAAAGCCAGGATTTTCAAATATCGGCGCTATACAATCTTTCAACTTTATTGATTGTGTGAAAAATTTGATTTTTTTACGGCTTATCAACCTTGTTCAAGTTATTTAAAGCCCGAAAATATTTTTATTGTAAGAATTGTGTTGAAGATGATTATGATTTACTGATACATGTCCTACTACTTAATCCATAGCTGAGGGATAAGAAGTTTATTCATACCTTTCCCAAGGCGTAAGTGAATTTAACGAACCGGACTGGAATTCGAACTCGGCTCTACGATTTCCAATTCCGAGACGTTATTTACCCACCCGCACACCCAAGCTTACAGTACATGTTATTCCCAAGCGGTCACCCATTTTGGTACGGACCAAGCTCGAAGTTAGTTAACTTGGGTGGTCATGCGAGAACCGGTGTGTGAAGAAGAATTCTAGTTAAAATATATATATATATGTATATATATATATATATATATATATATATATATATAAATCCAGTTTCATATATTTGATTTTATTAAAATTCTTAAAAAAGCATTTTAAAATAATAATAAAAAAAATGCCGGGTGGAGGAGGATACAGTTATAGCGGTATAAAGAGAAAAACTGTCCTTTTAGTCTAACCGTTTTTTTGGGGTGGGTGGGGGCGGTAACATTTGTTAAACTTTGCCTTTACTTGTTTTACAACTTAATTCGAGAGAAGACCGAATGATTTATCAACCGAAACACTATAAAAAATAGATATTTTTTCGTAATTTTTCGGTTGAGACAATCTCAGTCAATGACATATTTGGGTGCTACTATAGTTTGATATCTAGCGAGACATTTGCGACCTACCGTAAATGACGATGCACTCTGCCAAACAACCTATTTACGGCCTCAATCACTTATGTGCCATGCGTGATACATGCTTACGCGATCATGTATTTTTTGATACATGACTGACGAGGCAATTTTTTTCCTGCAGTAGGTTGCCATTTCTTTCTACGGTAGACCAGTTGTCACCCAAGACTATAGAATCCGGTCTGTCCTGCTATTTACCCATAGCTGGGGGGAGGAGAAGAGGATTCATACCTTTCCCAAGGGTATTAGAACATAAGTGAATATAATGGATTCAACTGGAATTCGTACTCCGTTATCCGAGACGCTATCCATTACTCCACCGTTCCTACAGAAATGAATTCCTCAAGCTACATACAATTATTTTAACCTAAAGAGTTGGGTATTTATCTAATTTGTATTCATAAAGGAGATATTTATATAATTTCATTACAAAACGAAAAAGCTAACGTCAGACAAAATAATCTGAAGAAGAAGCAGTGTCCTTTTTAGGGGTTAGGGATTTTAACATATTTTATATTTCTAACAGTTGGTAAATATCATACCATAGTAGAAAATGAATAGTAGATATCATACTATAGTAGAAAATGAATAGTAGATATCATACTATAGTAGAAAATGAATAGTAGATATCATACTATAGTAGAAAATGGACAGTAGATATTATACTATAGTAGAAGATGGACGGTAGATATCATACTATAGTAGGAAAATGGACGGTAGATATCCTATAGTAGAAAATGGATAGTAGATATCATACTATAGTAGAAAATGGACGGTAGATATCATACTATAGTAGAAAAATGGGCGGTAGATATACTATAGTAGAAAAATGGACAGTAGATATCATACTATAGTAGGAAAATGGACGGTAGATATCATACTATAGTAGGAAAATGGACGGTAGATATCATACTATAGTAGAAAAATGGGCGGTAGATATACCATAGTAGAAAAATGGACGGTAGATATCATACTATAGTAGGAAAATGGACGGTAGATATCATACTATAGTAGGAAAATGGACGGTAGATATACTATAGTAGAAAATGGACGGTAGATATCATACTATGGTAGGAAAATGGACGGTAGATATCATACTATAGTAGGAAAATGGACGGTAGATATCATACTATAGTAGGAAAATGGACGGTAGATATCATACTATAGTAGAAAAATGGGCGGTAGATATACCATAGTAGAAAAATGGACAGTAGATATCATACTATAGTAGGAAAATGGACGTGTAGATATCATACTATAGTAGGGAAAATGGACGGTAGATATACTATAGTAGAAAATGGACGGTAGATATCATACTATGGTAGGAAAATGGACGGTAGATATCATACTATAGTAGGAAAATGGACGGTAGATATACTATAGTAGAAAATGGACGGTAGATATCATACTATAGTAGGAAAATGGACGGTAGATATCATACTATAGTAGGAAAATGGACGGTAGATATACTATAGTAGAAAATGGACGGTAGATATCATACTATAGTAGGAAAATGGACGGTAGATATCATACTATAGTAGAAAAATGGACGGTAGATATACTATAGTAGAAAATGGACGGTAGATATCATACTATAGTAGGAAAATGGACGGTAGATATACTATAGTAGAAAATGGACGGTAGATATCATACTATAGTAGGAAAATGGACGGTAGATATCATACTATAGTAGAAAATGGACGGTAGATATCATACTATAGTAGAAAAATGGACGGTAGATATACTATAGTAGAAAATGGACGGTAGATATCATACTATAGTAGAAAATGGACGGTAGATATCATACTATAGTAGAAAAATGGACGGTAGATATCATACTATAGTAGAAAATGGACGGTAGATATACTATAGTAGAAAATGGACGGTAGATATCATACTATAGTAGGAAAATGGACGGTAGATATCATACTATAGTACCACCCATATTTAATGGTGAGCTCTGAAAGAGAACCGAAACCCGCCTTAGACAAAGTAGTAAAGGAAAATTAGAAGAAAGGACTAAGTACTGTGAGAAGATGTAAAACTTATTTATCAGCAAAAGAGACAACCTAAGGTCTCTGCTATGAATTCTTCTATGTGTCGCATCCCTTCAGGAAAAAGGCGATTATGACTCTCCAGAAGTTCCTATCACGTGTGGCTCTTAGCAGTTTCTCTTCCTTTCCTAAGGCTCTTGCTTCCCGTTCTTCCACTCGTTCACACAACCTCGTCAGGTAAATGGCTCTTTGCCATCTCCCCCTGTCTCTCTCTTACCTTCGATATGCCCCATAAGGGTTAAGCTTTCTAAGATCTCCATTCTCATATCATCCTGGGTATGATGATAAAGAAGGCCTCTGATGGAAGACTGTGGGATTTGAGGAGCATAGAACCACCTCTTAATTGCAGTTGTCCACTCTGACCCGGGGTGGTAGCACCTGTTAGGGTATGATATGGGCGTATAAAGAACCCCCAAGCAAAAATGAAAACACCAGGAAAGTATGAAAAATAGATTTTTATAGTAAAAACACCAGCAATACATTTTTATAAAAAATTACCAACAATTGATTTTTGTAGTGAAAAGACCAACAATATATTTTTTATAAAAAAAGACCAACAATATATTTTTATATATAAAAAAAAGACCAACAATATATTTTTATATATAAAAAAAGACCAACAATATATTTTTATATATAAAAAGACCAGCAATATATATGTATAAAGACATTTTTATGTTTAACATTCTTTTTATAGATACAAGTATTTTAGTAAATGCTCTGTTTATAAAAAATCGTATTAAATAACATTTACCGGCCTGAATGTCCGAGAAATTTCCATAGAAAATATTCGTCCTTTGACAGGATTCGAACCTGCATCCTATACTGAACCGTCAATTAGCTTGCCGTGCCTAACCGCTCGGCCACAAAGGATCGTTCGATTGGCAAGATCGAATTTACTGCTTATAAACTTCAATCTTCCCTGAATCTCTCACGTACATTCATAACTGCTCATGCTAAATGACGGTTCCGTATAGGATGCAGGTTCGAATGCTGTCAAAGGCCAGCGATACATTTTTTTTTATATAAAAAAAAAAAGCCAACGATACATTTTTTTTTTATAAAAAAAAAGGCCAACGATACATATTTTTTTTATAAAAAAAGACCAACAATACATTT